TATATATATATATAGATATATATATATATATATATATCTACAGAGTCACAAGTACATCTGTGTATATAGAAACACATACATAAATATGAAATACAAAACATGATGGCTTGGAAATGATTTTTTTTTCATCGTGTGGATTTTTCTTTTAGGGCTTGATTTTAGCACGATTTAACGAAGTTGCTCAGAAACAAACAAAGATACAGAGACCCCAAGTTTTGAACAGGCTGATAAGAGGTTCCTTAACACCACATGCTGTTCTGCATTCCTACTCATCTTCTAGGGCTAGCCCCTCCTTTGTAATCGCCTGTGCTCTGGGGGGAAGTCTGTTAAGCCAACCCAGTCTCTTCACTCCCTCCAACCAGATTCACTAGATACAGACCTTAACTCTTGAACTGCAGAAAATGTCTTTTCTGTGTGCCTATCGGGGACATGTTGTTAATCACTGGAGTTAAAACACTACCGGTATTATGCAAAGCGGGGGAGGCGGGACTGAGAAGGCAACCCACACATCCATCATCCCTTTAGGAGTAGGCGGAGTTTAAAGTTTCCCCAACTTCCAAGTTCTCACTTGACAGGCAATATTTCTGTGCAATTTCCAGCCCTGAGTAACAGATGGTGCTCTGCCTGTCCTGAACCTCGAGAGAGCCCAGACAAAGCTCCCAGCCACTCCGTGCCTCGCGGGACCCATAGGTGGTTAGTTTCACGGAGCTGTCAGACCAGGGCAGTTAGCAGAGAATGGAAGCTTAACTTCTTCCAGAAGTTTTCTTTTCCTTTCTTTCTTTTTTTTTTTTTTTTTTCCTGGTACGAGGAAGTCAAGAGGACTGAAACACAAAGGCCTGGGAAAGTTTCACTGCTTCAATTCTCTGCCAAACCGTCACCTACACCAAGGTGCTGCACAGGGAAGGAAAAGCTGAGGCACACGTGTTCAGAAAGAAACACAGCAGAAATGCAACTTGAGCAGTCCTAGAGACAACCTGGAAAATTGCTTAAGAGACCCCGGTGGTGATAAGGCATCCTCGAGGTACCAGAGATTGATCACACAGAGCCCAAAGAGAAGACGACAACCCCCTCCGCACCAAAGTACGGTGTGCCTGAGCTGTGAGCGAGAGGAAAGGGAGGGGGCGCGATCTTGGAGTCGGGGGACGTTCGGCCCACTCACCCTCACTGCCATACTGTTTGCCATTGTTCGCGCCCATCCTGTCGCCTTCATGCCC